CCACATGAAAGTTGGAATTTCTACAGATTTTTAGATGGTGTAGGGACTTGTAATTTCAAGGTCAACGTAGGCTCACAGTATCTGTTGCCTCTCTTCCACAATATGTCATCTCAGACTTTCAACTAGTTTTTTCCTGCCTCTACTTCCACATATAACAAAGCAAGTATTTGTGAAAATATAGACTATACTGGTGATTTTTAGGTTCTGTGGAAGAGTCAACTTGATCCAACAAAGTACTATCCACCTAAAAACACACATTAGTGTAGCAGATAATGTTTAAATTATCGGTTGAGACTTCCCACCTTTAGATTTCCTTTGATGATGAGTTTTCTCTTCTGTTCCAGAAGCTGTGACATCTTTCATCTACACTGATGAGAAAGTCAGCTAGAAACTAAAGCCAGAAAGCCTTGGAGCAGTAAGAGAGTGGAGCTAAGAGCTACAGCACCTGACAAGGAACATGTTTTCTGAATTCTGAGAACATAGCTTTCATTACCAAGAGCCAAAGCCTGAAGGAATAAAATATAAAGTTTACCCACAAACAACACATGGGAAGGAGAAAGATGAAAAAGCCATTTTCAGCCACACAGGAAGAAGATGAAAGACTTTTGTTGGTTGGAGAAAAGAACTTCAAAGGGGAGGAGAGAGCAAAAGAATGAGTTCGTTAGTATGGCAGGATCTTGCCCCTCTTCCCCCCAGGGGACTGGGTCCAGGTGGGGAAGGTAACTGGAAATCCAAGATTGGTTGGGAGGATTCAAGGCAAGAAAGAACTTAGCATTCCTCCTCTGGGAAGAAGACTGGGAATCCTTAGAAGAATTCAGTGTCCATAATAGCCAACAAATTATGAGAAAGACACCTAGATAGCTAGCCTAAGCATTGGACAAGGACAGTGGCAGAAAGTTATTATGGACCATGAGAGAAGGATGGAAATGGCACCTGGCTACTGAACATGAAGGAGTTTGAGATCTATGCTCCAGTGGGAAGGACTGAAGTAGCCTGTATTGAATGAATAGACTGAGACCTTGGGAGGACAGTGATCATTTCAGCAAGTGCGGCAAGCCATGGCACCCAGACACCTAGGAGGATAAATTGCAGCTCAGTAGATGCTACAGATGGGTGATGGGTAATCAAGGACCCAGTGTCCTCTTCTCCTGACCTGGATAATAGTTAAAATTCTCTTCAATATGGAACTCATATCACTACGTATGCAGAAGAGAGGAAGGAGCCAAGGGAGAATATGGAATTGATGAAGAAGATAGCCATTGTCCATTGAGTCGTAAGCCCTCCATGTCTGAGTTAACCTTAAATCAGACCATTACTTTTATCATTACCAAGTGAAAAGGGGACTCAGAATCTAGTTCAATTATAGGGAAAAGAAATGTATTAGTGTTTCATTCCTGTACAATATGTGGGTCAGGTCTACAAATGTTCACTCACAAGTATGTGTCATTCAGAAAGGTGGCAGCAGTGGGAATATGGTTTTGTGAAGTAGATCTACTGTGCTGACCCCTACACACTGCCTTTTTTTTCTTAAAGACAGAGAGAACTTCTTTTAGTATTTATTTTTTAGTTTTTGGTGGACACACATCTTTATTTTATTTTATGTAGTGCTGAGGATCGAACCCAGCACCCGGCACATGCCCCGCGAGTGCGTTACCACTTGAGCCATATCCCAGCCCTACACACTGTCTTTTTAAGGACAGTTTGCCTGAGGCTGCTCTGGCCTGCCTGATTTGAGTCAATGGGATATGCTACATTCCTCAGCAAACAACCTGTTATCTTCAGGAGAAATGCAGGTCCAAGGACTCCTCCCTGTAGATAAGAAGAGCAGGGGTTGCCCTGATGGTGGTGGTCTTTTATCTTTTTTTCTTCTTCTTCTTCTTCTTTTTTTTTTTTTTTTGGTCCCAGGGATTAAATCCAAGGGCGCTTAACCACTAAATCACATCCCCAAACCCCTTTTTAAATTTTTAAAATTTTGACATAGGGCCTGTCTAAGTTGCTTAGGGCCTCACTAAATTGCTGAGACTGACCCTCACTGACCTTGTGATTTTTCTGCCTCAGCCTCCTGTCTTGCTAGGATTATAGCTATGTGCTGCCATGCCCAATTTCTGATGGGGGACTTTTGTGACTTTTATGCAGACTGGTTCCAGGAGTCCAGGAGATGGGAAAATTAGACACAAAGTCCCTCAACCATAAAATCTGTAAGAATAAGTTACAATTTGGAACCAGTAATTGCAGACAAAGGTGACCCACAGTTGCCTTGGATTTTAACATGTCATTATAATAGTAAAATCTCCCCTCTATGAGGGTAAAACCCTGCACAGTGGGGACTTAAAAGTCTGATGCAATCCTGCTATCAGTCAAAAGTCAAGAGGTGGACCTGGACTTTCTGGAAACTTCCTGGGACTCCTAATTAAACAAAAGGACAGTAGAGGTGTGTCATCCTTCTCCTTTCTGAGAGAATCCACTCTCTCCCTTTCTGCTTTGCGAATGTCCTCTTTTTCTCTTTTCCTATCCTGTCCAATAAACAGAATCCTTTCTTAGAAGTCAATTAGGTTCCCAGGCATGGTGGCGCATGCCTGTAATCCCAGGGACTCAGGAGGCTGAGGTAGGAGGATCACAAGTTCCAGGCCAGCCTCAGCAACTTAGTGAGGCTCTAAGTAACTTACCAAGACCCTGTCTCAAAATAAAACATAAGGTGGACTGAGGGTGTAGCTCAATTATAAAGCAACCCTGGATTCTACCCCTAGTACCAAAAATAAAAAGAAGTTATGTTATGAATGGTATCTTTCTCCTTTTAACAGTTATATTCTGGTAAAGTACCAGTTAATTTCTTTACTTTACCTCACAATAACATGAATAAAACACTGATAGAGACTCAGCAAGAAAATGGAAGGAGCCACAGGTAAGAAATTCTAAAAACAGTGCTCAATCTGAACCTCCCTTATTTCCAAAACCTGCACTATAAACCATTGTCTTGCAGAAATCCCTACCCTTTGCTTATGTCCCAGGCTTTGCTTATATATTGCTTAACAGCTTTGAGAATTAAGTCTTGCTTATTTCATATCTTCAGGAGGCTTGAATTCCTTCCAATCTCCTTCACCTGATATACTGGTTAAAAGAAACCCACCAAGGACTGATTGGCTTTGTCTCGTGGCTTGAAAACTCATTATCTGCCTCCTCACTCCGGCAACTCACTGCTGTCTGAGGCTTGGGGAGATTTTGTAATTCCACTTTGGTGAGTGTTAGGGTTTAGATAAGAGGTATCCCCCAAAACTCATGTAAGAGACAGTGCAAGAAAGTTTAAAGGTGAAATGATTGGATTATGAGAGTGTTAACCAATCAGTGCTTTAATCCACTGATAGGGATTATCTGGTTTGCAGTGTAGGCAGGTAGGGAGTGGCTGGATGAGGTGGGTCCTTGGGGGTGGGCCTTTGGGGTATATATTTTGTCCTTGTTGATTGCAGCAGCTCACTCTATGCTTCCTGGTGCTATGTCTTGAGCTGCTTTCCTCCTCCACACCCTTCTGCCATGATGTTCTGCCTCCTCTAGGGCCCAGAGCAATGGCGTTGGCTGTCTATGGACCTCTGAAAACCATGAGCCCCCAAATAAACTTTTCCTCTTCTGATTGTTCTTGTCAGGTCTTTTTGCCACAGAGGTGAAAAAGCTGACTAAAACAGTAAAAACAGCCACTGAGTTTAAACTGCCCCGATTTTAAACTGAATTTGATCATGAACATTTCCTGTACCTCTCTCTGGGAGCATGAGCTGATGGGAGGTATTGTTGTTTAATCATTTTATGTTTACCCACCCTGTGGACTGCCAGGGTCACTCAATACAGTGATCCTACAATCTCCTCTGAGGAAATGACTCAAAAAGAGCTTTGATTTAGACTGGTTCCCAACCAATGTTCTCACAAATGAGAGGGGAGAAAACAAAGAGTTGTGTAAGCAGGTGGAACCACACAGAATACTTTGCTCTCAGCTAAAGAAATTATATATTTGGGTATGCCTACCAGCTCCTAAAAAATAGACATTGCAGGACTAAAGAAAACACACTGCATTTAACTTTGGCAAACTAATTCTCATTATACATTTTATTCATTTTAAGATTGTTAAGCTAAAAATTAAGCAATTCTTGAGATTTATTGAAAATAATCATCATTTAAAATAGTCTTTAATGAATTAACAAACTATGATACAATAACTAAGCAGCTGATTAGTTATTAGATTGAGTTTAATCAAGGATATTAAACTCAAATCCACCTTGATTAATTTCTCTATTTTTAAAAACTTTATTTTATCTAGAAAACACAGGTTGATTTAATAACAACAAAAATCAATGCAATTCACTATATTATCAATTGTTAAAACCCCACATTGTCATCTCAACTGTTGTAGAAAAAATATTTGACACAATTTAACGTCCATTCCTGATTTTTAAAAATACTCTCAGCAAACTATGAAAAGAACTTCCTCTACCTGATAAAGGACATCTACAATGAAACTACAGCTAGAATTATGCTCAACAATGAAAGACTGAAAGCTTTTTCCCTAAGATTAGAAATGAGTGAAGGATGTCCACTCTCACCTCTACTATTCAACATGCTCTGGAGGTTTTAATCAATGCAGTAGAGCTAGTATGTGAATCTAAAGACGCCCAGATTGATAACAAAGAAGTAAACTTTTTTCTTGGCAACAGATGATCCCATCCACAGAAAATCATATGGAATATACAAAAGAGGTGTTAGAACTAACAAGTTATTTTAGCAAGGATGTTACAAGGTCAATAGAAAAATCAATTCTATTTCTATATGCAAATTGAAAATTTTAATAATGTCATTTATAGTAGCATAAACCATGTGAATAGGTTAGATCTAACAAACCAAAAAAAAAAAAAAAAGAAGAAGAAGCAACTCCTATCTACTACAAACTGTAAATATTGCTGAGAGTGTAAGGGTCCGGCGAACATCGGAGGAAGAGACCACCAAGGGACTGTGACTCATGCAACAACAAAAGGGGTTTATTGAGATTCCAGCATGCTGGGGTTCTGTGCCCACTCGAGAAAAGAGAGCAGCCCAGAGCCCAGAGCAGGGGTTGTGCAATGTTTAAGTACACTTTTTGGGGAGGGTGGGACTTTACATACATCACAGTCTCCTTTAACAAATCATCATACACCGCGGGAAAGTCAAACAACAATTCTTAGACTTGATTAGTACATACATTGGCGGGAACAGGTCGGGCGGGGGTGATAGGTCAGTTCTAAAGCTGGGTACACATTCAAACTGATTGGTTTAGGCCCTGCGATGCCTACATGCAAGACCACACAGAGCCCTTAAGTTATTAAACAACCAGGCGGTCAGGGGAAATATTTACTGGGCAGTTTGAGTATTGTCTTAACAGCTACAGGAATTTCAGGTTTTGCATGTAGCATAGGAACTTAACAATACCTAGTCCTTTACATTTTAACTCAGGCCTTGCAGCTTAGAAACTTTACAATGCCCGGTCTTTTACACTTTAACTTCAATTTCTTTTACCCTTACATTCCCCACTCATTTTTCTGACTACTTTTAATCTTAAAAGTAATGAATCACAATTATTGAAGGGTTTTATATTTCATGAGTTGTTTTGTGTTCCCTGGAATCATTTTCTGCATGGCCTCCATTTTAGATTTTACTTGGTATTAGACCCCGATTTATCTAACTACACTGACTACCTAACTTTAAATCTGGCTTCATTCCCCCCCCCCTCTAATTTGGGAACTCCTTACTGCTGTAAGGAAGGGGGGCGAAGAGGATCTTTCTGGCTTCTTCAGGCTGAAAAGGGATGGTGTGGGGCAAGCAGTTTGGAGTCCCCCTTAAAAAATATTGGGTCTATCGAGTGGTCCATGATAAAAGTCCAATTGAGAAGTAATAGGCTGGAGGGCCATTTGAGTGATGGGTGGTCTATAAGAGAAACAAGAATTCATTAGTACTGGAACCATATTGATGCAGCAATAAATGTCACAGCACAGGAATATGCCAATGAGTACAATGGCCAAGACAAAGACTAACAATGTTTTCCACCAGGAAGTACCAAGAACCAGGAGCTAAGATATTGTTTCCATGACAAAGTTGCTGAGGACATGGCTTCTATCTGAGCATGTAAATCTTTAAGGATATTTGTCACATTGCCAGAAATGTTAGGGATGTAAACACAACAATTAACATTTAGGTTTACAGATGTTCTTTCCTTTAAGATATAGTCTAATAATTTAATGCCATCTGATCTTGTAAAATCCTTTTTACTAGTATGACCTCTGTGTCTAATAGAGAAACCTTTAATTTTGTTACTTAGGGCTGGATAACCATACTAGCAAACACCAAGCCTACCTGTGTAGGTTAGGAATATCTGTGGGCCTTAAACTAAAAACTACTCTGGCAGTTCTTTTTAATAGTTATCAGGCATTTCTGTCTGAGAACCTCTTTTGTAGCCTCCAGTTTACTTATTTTTGGAAGTTACATTTAATTATTATTATCATTTAAAATGCCCAGGAACAGCTGTGCTTTGGCTTTGACTGTCTTTGCTAAGTGTTTAAGATGAAGCAAGTCAAACTGACTTTTGTTCTTATCTATTGTTAACAGTCAGCTGAGTTTCCCTGGGAGTCCTCGGGGAACTTCACAGCAGCTTCTCAGTTCTGCTAGTGCCATTTACGTTAGGATGGGTCCAGGCCTTGCTTGACCATGTGGCTTCCCTTGGAAGCATCAGGGATGTCTCCCCTTTCTGATGACCCTCCTCTTCACAGCAAATGCACTGATTGGCCTTCTGTCCTCCACTGGTCTCATTAATCTCCCTGCTCAGGAGGTTATGTGGCCTAGAGTTGCAGAGCCCTTTGGAGAAGTCCCCTATTCCCTGATTCAGACTGACTCAGAGGGCAAGAGCCAAATTTTTAATTTTAAAACTTAATCTTAAACATCCAGCAAATAAGTTAACAGCCTTATATTAAGAGCACTGGGCTTTAACGTCTATCTCTCTATCCTGTAGGTGATAACTCCTTATCTTAAGTTGACCCAGGTTGTGTTCTTAAAGCAGTACCTCTTTAAAACATTAACAGGCAATCCTTAAACCATCTATAAGCAAACTACAAAACAAAACTAACTAGGGTAAAAACATATTTAGCTTATATAATAGCTACCTTGAATTCTGGCAGGGTTATACATCATAATTCCCAGTTTGAGATCCTAGTAATCTTGGCAAAAACCTACTTTTGGACACAACTTTAAATGTACTGAAATCTGGCTTACTTCTTTTATAATCTCTTTCACATGAGGTTGGACATAGAGCCTTATCTCAAGTAAGGCGGGGCTCTTTATAAATCTTAAATATTATAGTTCTGAAGCTGATCTTTGCTTTTTTTAGACATCATTTTACAAAGCCTATATAAATTGTTGCTCAAGTTTACATGGATATTAGCTAACACAACATAATATCACATCTAAAACATGAATTAAAGTAAGGCTGAAAGTTTTTAACCTTTTATAGAAAAGTAGCAAAGTACTTTGGTGTTTTACAATAAAACCGTCACACAGATTAGGCTCTCATTAACTTAAAAATACATTTAAATTGTATCTCAGTGTAAAAAGTAACATGGAACTGTACATATCTTATTGATAATAAGTCCAGTTGTAGAACACAAATGATATAAATAAATCTCCAACATGTTTTTCTTTTAAGCCTAAAATTACCGTACAACTTTAGAACACCAGCTTGATATAATGCTCTTTTGAAGCTTCTACCTTACAGACTTGTATACCTGGAAGATATGAACATATATTAATAGCACCATAATTACATTGATGATTTTTATTAACCAAGGTTAGCTTTTAAAGAAACAACATTACAATATTGAAAAATAACAGTTGTTGTTTAACCATAGTTGTATAATTTTTAATTTCTTTAAGATTACTTGCTCAAACTTACACATATAACCAACTTACACAGACCTTCTTTATCACTTAAACCCTCTTAATTACTTAATCACATAGACTCTCTTATCTAGAAACACATTTTCCCTCTATTAAATCCATATCTAGAACCTTTTAGTTTCTCTTTTTCATCTGTTAACCTCCTTCTGTTCACATTTTGAAACAATACTTGTAAATTTCTGAATTTAGGCAGATTATTTCATAGACATCAACATTTTATTAGGGCCTTTTTTGAACACCTAGAAAAACTTATAAGCTTAATTTTAAAGACATCTTTACTTTTATCTGTTTACCCAATTTAAATTGAACCATTTGAATCACGTGAATCAAAGATATTTGGACCTATTTTTAAACTTTTTTTATGAGTGCTCCTCATCTGTCAATTGTCATCACTGCAGGATATATGGACATACACACATACAGACATACCGACATACAACACATAACACAAGTGTAACACCCTTGTAGCTTTTTCAGGTGAAATCTCCATTGCAATGTTTAAAAACTCCACAGTTGATCAAAAATAGAACTGATCAGAAAATATTAACCCGTCTGCAGGATCAAAATCATTAGCTCAAAAAAATACAGAATCTAAGAAAAAGCAAGAGTCCTAAAAAAGATGACTGGCCAGTAATTAGTAAATATCATATAATTTACACTTTGGTTGGGGTCTAGTTTGAGTTCAGGTAAAAAGACACTTTTATTCTTTTTTTTTTCCTTGGGCCTGAGATCTGTCTTCTGCTGAGTGCTACAGGCTTCTTTTATTTGCATATCAACTTAAGTCCTGGCTGAGGTCTGGAAGGAACTGGGAAAACTGGAATTCTGAGCAGAAACCTCATGCCTAAGGCATTTTAGCTATAAGTCATAATTTCCAGGTTTAAGATGCAATTCTCAAAATTTTATATCTTTATATCTCTTTACATTAGAAAAACTAGCTCACACAAAACTGAAAATAGGATCTTTTTTCTGATAATATAAAAGCCACCATCAGAGGAAATTTCCTCAGGATCATTAAGCTGCTTCCTTTGTTCTGAAGTTCCTAAAGTAGTATTAAGTTACATTAAATTACCTGAAAAATTTTAAAAAGAACCACACACTACCATGTGTATCCGAAATTTTCAAAACTGTTGCTAATTAGGGTCATTTTAATAAACTAGGCCAACATTTTAATTTAACACTTTTTTTCCCTGAATCTTACACACTGAGGGGAACAGATACCATATCAGAATTTATTATTCTTATCCTAGTTAATGCACTGGTACACCTAGTGAAATCTTTTCAGGCTACCCAGTTCAAAACTGAAACTTTCTAATATTTTTTTATCCTAAATATTTAAGTTTTCTAGCATGAACTATCTGAAATCAAGCTAAACAATTGCTTAAACCCAACTTTTAACTGTAAGATAGTGCAATGCTTTAGAAACCCATTCGATACCAAATTGTTACAATAAAAAAATCATCTTTTAGATACGCATTTAGCCAAGATCATCCCCAAGAAACAATCTATAATATCAACACATTACTGCAGTCATTGTCCCTTTTGTTAAGTAAACAGAGGTGGAGTAATCCTTAAAGTGCAGGTAAGGAATGAGGGAGTTCCCCAGAGCAAAATGGCTCTGGCAGCTGCTGGGAGTCTCTCAGCCCCACCTTTCACTTCCAAGATTAGTTCCTCTGGTTTGGTTTGACCCCAGGCACTAGGCATTTTTTACATCTCCTAACTTTTCAGTAGTCAGCTCCCAAAAAGCTGATCCTCTGTTTGCAGTTGTTTTGAGTGCTAGGCTTCCCCAAGAAAGCAGAGTGGGGACTCCTTAAAAGTCCCCTCGGGGGTGTCAAAATTTGTGACTGAAAATTTGGTTCCTATCCCCCAAAGCCAATTAACACCAATTTAATAATGAGGACAGGGCTTTGAGAAAAGTCAAAGCGAGATGTCAAAGTTGTTAAATCCCCAGTAGGCATCTCCATTTGTACTCAAGCTGATTACGGGAGGGAAAGAAAACATTGCTTTCCTAATCTCACTTAGCAAAGGGAAGTAAAGTTTACCACCCGCTTTGGGCTACATTTCCAAGCAACCCGGCTCCGGGAAGACCCGCTCGCTTCTTTGGCCCCGGGATTTGGTGATCGCTGCGGTGGGAAGGGGGGGCAGTCTCCCGCCGACTCCACCTCCGACCCCACCCGCCCCGCTGTGGTGGAAATGCGCCCTGTGGCAGCTGGTCGCTGGCCGGGAGGAGGGGGAGGGGAAGTCCCCTGCCGACCTTACCCCCACCCCACCCACCCATCCCTTGCGCCCGCCAGAGCACCCCCCTCTCGGAGACTGTGAAGGGGCGGAGAGGACAGATGGGTGGAGGGGCCGGGAGGAACGGGGGCGGGAAAGATCCGCAGTACTGCAGAGTTGAATCCTCCCGGAGGACTGCGCGGACCCCGCCCGTGCAGGAAGCAATTCGCAGAGGTCCTACCAGGTCCAGCATTTCACTGAAGAAGAAAGATTCTGGGCCCTTGAGCGGGATCAAGGGTCAGGGACAGAGGCGTGGAATGGCTTTGTCTCACAATGAGAGTTACTCAAACAAAAACAGAGACAAGACAAAAGTGACACAAACACGGACACACACAGTAAACGTGTAACACAAGTTTAGAGGCAAAGATTAAAGACAGACTGTGAATCCAATCTGAGAGAAAGAATTGCCGGCGAAACCAAACGGGTTGGCAGCAGAGTACACACGAGGGCACTTTTGTCCCTCTACCAACTGAGGGCACTTTCGTCCCTCCCTGAATCCTCCAAGGCGTCCCTTAGGAGGAGTGGCCTGTGGCTTCAGGACACGTCTGTCCACCACCGCCAGGGAGAACTTACGCTCTCGGCCGGCAGCCACGCTGCCAACCCAACCAACCAATCCAAGCCAAAAACCAAACCTGAACCAAAAAGCTCTGAGCGATCGCAAAGGAAAAAACAAGGAGGAGAAGAAGAGGAAGAAGAAGAAGAGGCGCCTTACTTACCCCCTAAAGGAGTCCGTTGGGGTCTCCTTGTCCGGCGATGCGCTGTTCCCGGCCAACGCACCAAATGTAAGGGTCCGGCGAACGTGGGAGGAAGAGACCACCAAGGGACCGCGACTCATGCAACAGCAAAAGGGGTTTATTGAGATTCCAGCATGCTGGGGCTCCGTGCCCACTCGAGAAAAGAGAGCAGCCCAGAGCCCAGAGCAGGGGCTGAGCACTGCTTAAGTACACTTTTTTGGGGAGGGCGGGACTTTACATACATCACAGTCTCCTTTAACAAATCATCATACACCGCGGGAAAGTCAAACAACAATTCTTAGACTTGATTAGTACATACATTGGCGGGAACAGGTCGGGCGGGGGTGATAGGTCAGTTCTAAAGCTGGGTACACATTCAAACTGATTGGTTTAGGCCCTGCGATGCCTACATGCAAGACCACACAGAGCCCTTAAGTTATTAAACAACCAGGCGGTCAGGGGAAATATTTACTGGGCGGTTCCAAGCATTGTCTTAACAGCTACAGGAATTTCAGGTTTTGCATGTAGCATAGGAACTTAACAATACCTAGTCCTTTACATTTTAACTCAGGCCTTGCAGCTTAGAAACTTTACAATGCCCGGTCTTTTACACTTTAACTTTTACACTTTAACTTCAATTTCTTTTACCCTTACAAGAGAAATTAGAGAATACCAAAATAAGTAAATGGAGAGTTATACTGTTTTCATGGTTGAAGGAATCAATATTATTATGATATCACTGCCCAAATTCATTTATAGATTTAATACAACCCTCATCAAAATTCTAGCACACTGCTTTTGAAGAACTAACAGACAAATTACATTATTTGTATAGAATTGCAAAGGACCTAGAATAGCCAAAACAATCTTGAAAAGAATTCACACTATCTAACTTTAAAGTTGCCAGAAATCAGCACATGTGGTACTGGCTTAAGAAAAAATGAATAGAGTAATTAAACAAAATAGAGAGTCCAGGAATAGATTCACACATAAATGGTCAATTGGTTTTCAACAAAAGTACACAAACAGTCCCCTGGATATAATTTTTTTCAGCATATGGTGCCAGACAAATTAGATATTCATATGCAAAAAATAAACTACAATTTATATTTCACACCATCAAAAAATTGACTCAAAATGAATCCTAGACCTAATTAATGAACCTACAATTATAAAGCTTCTAGAAGAAACCATAGGAGGAAAATCTTTGTGATGAAGAGCTAAGCAAAGCTTTCTTTAGCTATACCACCCAAATTATAGTCCACTAAAACATCAAATTTGGCTTCTCAAAATTGAAAACTTCTGCTCTTTCTAAAACACTTTAGGAGAGTAAAAAGACAAATTACTGCACGGAAGAAAATATTTATAAATCATATATCTGATAAAAGACTCATATCCATAATTTCTATGTAAAGCACACTCAAAACTATAATATGCAAACAAACACTCAATTTTAAAAATGGTCAAAAAATGTGATCAGATGCTTTACCAAAGAAGTGGTATGAATGACAAATAGTAACAGGAACATCTGTTCAACATGATTAGTGAAGAGGGAAATGCAAACGAAAACCATAATGAGATACCATATTACCCTGTAAGAATGGCTAAAGTGAAAGAGATTAGCTGGACCATACTGTTGGCAATGACGTTGAGCAACTGGAAATCTCAAACACTGTTGATGGAAATGTAAAAGGGAAATATCTTAAATATTTAAATACACAGCTAACACTTGACATGGCCATCCATTCTTATATATTTATCCAGGGGGGGAAAATGGAATATGCCCAAACAAAGACTTAAAAATGATTGCTCATACAAAGACTTGGAAATGATTGCTCATAGGACATTTATTTGTAGTAGTCACAAAATGGGAAACAACCCAAACAGGCAAATGGATATATATTTTTGGTATATTCATAATCTTGAACACTAATCTGCAATAAAAAAGAAATGAGCTATTTATAAAGGCAGCATGAATATCAAAATACTCATGCTGAATTAAAGAACTCAGACTCCTCCCACCCCAACCTAAAAAGAGGACATACTATAAAATTCTATTTAAACAACATTCTAAAAATACAAACCAATTAATAATGATAGAAAGCAGATCAGTGGTTGTCTAAGGATGGTGGGAGAAAGTTTTGAAGGGGGGAGAGAGAACAAGAAGGAAAGATTACCAAGGGGCAAGAGGTAACTTTCAATGGTCACTCATTGTCTTGACTGTGTTGATGATTTTGGATACATCAAAACCTGTCAGATTGTAAACTTCAAATGTGGCACTAATGTATGTCAATAACACTTCAGTAAAACTGTTATACAAAAATCATTTAATTATTTTAATGCATTCAATTGGGGAAATTAATTAAATTCTGTATTCTATATTTTAAAATAAAAATTTTAACCAAAAGTTGAATGCTTTGGCTGATACGTGGAAGCTAAACCACAGTAAAGCTGGAGGTGAGAATAGAAATTCAGTAGATTAGACAAAGGGGAATGAAGGGAAGGGAAGGGGGATAGGAATAGGAAAGACAGTAGAATAAGTCTAACATATCTTTCTATGTACACATATGAAAATACCTAAGTGAATCCCACCATTGTGTCCACCCACAAGAATGGGGTCCTAATTAGAATAAGTTAACATTCCATGCTTGTATTATTTTCATCAAAATGGATTCTACTCTCATATATAACTAAAAAGAACCAATTAAAAAATAAAAATTTTAGTTATTTTTTGGAAATGCTTCAAGCAGTCATTTATAGGAACATTTACACACTGCAACGATATGACTGAAAAAGTTAGCTGGACAGTGAGATCTCTAAAAGACAAGTTTGTACCAATCAAGATCTGATATCATTCAGGATAATCTGGTGCTCTAGAGAATTCTATAGATGAAATATGCACCAGCCTTGTCTAGGAGCTCAGGAGATCTGTACACTGCAGAGACGGTATGATCTTAAAGAAAGTCCAGATAGGAATTATGTGACTTTTAGCTTGGATTATTGGGATGCAGAAAGTGTAGCTAGAGGCTGACAATAGAAATGAACCCGGGCTTTATTTGCTCCAAGTCTTCCTGAAATTGACAACCTTCAGTCCGCCCCACCTGGACAGAGCAAGGGGCATACCTGACCCCCTATTTTGCTCACCTTATCTTTCTAAGTGAGAAGGCAGCCACAAAACCCTGTGCTGGAGAATGAAAAGGCCGTAACACAGTGAGCCCTGGTGTTCTCTGTTCCCTGAGAAGCTGAGAAGAGCAAAGGGACCAAGGTCATCCAAGTGGTTCTGGAACTGATTTTTGTGTTTCTGCCAATTTCAATAAAAGATTCAGTGTGATAGTTGTGCTGGCAATGGTGGCATGGAAAGGGCGACTGTGTTTCTCTGGCCCCAGCAGCTGTGACCAGGAACCAATTACTTTGTCTCCAACCAGTCAAACACAGTAGGGTTCTGCCTGCAGCAAGCAAAGCCAGGCCAGTGATCAAAAGGATACTATGAGAGAACTTGCTATTGGTGCTTTGGTTGTATGTCTGCCCCCAAAGTTCATGTGTTAGAGTTGTAATTCCTCAGTGCATCAGTGTTTGGAGTTGGGGTCTAATGGGAGGTGCATGGGTCCCGGGGGCAGAGCCCCATATAAATATTAATGATGTCTTGTGGGAATGAGTGAGTTCCTGCTTTTGCAGGATGGGATCAGTCACTGTGAGAGTGAGTGTTTATAAGGAGAGGCTGTCCCTTATGTTCTGTTTCTTCTACATATGCCCACTCACCCTGCTGCTTTTCTCCCTAAGTTAAAGTAGCAGGAGTCCCTCTCCAGAAGCTTTCACTTGCTCTTATGGTTCCTAGCCTCCAGAACCATAAGCCAAAATAAACTTTTTTCCTTTATAAATTACCCAGTCTCAGGTATTTCGTTACAGCAACAGAAAACAGACTAAGACAAATAGGCAGGTGAGAGAGCTGCCCAAACACTAACTGCTTGCTGGCAAGAGACACTCTGAGGCACAACCATGAAGGACTTAAATGTCACACTGGGATGAGACAGTTAACACCACCTACTGAAGATCATTCAGCCAACCTCATGAAAGTAAGAGCTATTTAGATGTTTGTGAGAGAAACATAAGGAAGTAAGAGTCTTTGTTTGTAATCCACTTAGAATGTTTTTATCTGATTATCTTATGTGAAATATTTTCAAGAATCTGCTGTATGATAAAATTCTAAAAATAAATATGATAGTGTAAAACAATGCTGCACAACAGAATGTCCTGCTATGATGAAAATATTCTTTACATACACTGTGCAACATATAGACCTCTGTCAAATATGACCCCTGGATATGTGTAATGTGGCCAATGCAACCAAGTTACTGCATTTTAAATTTTATTCAATTTTAATTTGTATTTGAATAGTGACATATGGCAGATAGCTGCAGTCATAAACAATTTTAGTCTTTCCTGAAACAGTCAATGTTTTAGTTGGTGGTGTATAATATTGCCCTGCCTGAGTAAAATTTAAGAAATTAATTAAATCGCTACCAAAAAAACCAATACTTTTGTATTCTATTGAGAGCATCTCAAGATAGACATGAATTTTACTTATTCCTGTTTGTTTTTCTGGGTGAATACAAAAAGAAAACTGAGGGGTGGGAGGGAAAAGGAGGGGGAAGGGGATTAGCAAGGATGGTGGAATGTGATGGACATCATTATACAAAGTACATGTATGAAGACACAAATTGGGTGTCAACATACTTTATATACAGAGATATGAAAAATTGTGGTATATATGTGTATTAAGAATTGTAATGCAAAAAAAGACAAAGTACATTTATAAAGGCATAAATTGGCATGAACATACTTTATATACAGAGATACGAAAAATTGTGCTCTATATGTGTATAAGAATTGTAATGCATTCCACTGTTGTCGTGTACTTAAAAAATAATAATAAAATCAATAAAAAAAGAAAATACAGCATAACAGTTCTTTTCTGTTTTTAAGGGAAATCCCATTAATTTAAATTAGAGATGCTTTTATCAATTTCTAAATAGTGAGCAGGAAAGTTATAGTAGATATTTTACTTTGCTACTCAGCATTCACTCAGTTTTTCCTGGTAACAGAACAATGTTTGGAGTAATTATCAACACCACTCAAACCCATTCACCCCTCCCACCCCTGGTCTAGCACACAAACACAGGGTTGGGAGGTGTTGGAATTTTTGCATCATGCAACCAGAACCAGTAAAATAAATTAAAGTTTTATAGGGACTGTAGGGAGAAAGAGGTATCCAATGCTACCTGATGGCTGGGTAAAGGGTATAATTTGAGTGGGGAGAGTCATCACCAACAGAAAAGACAGTGGAACCCAGAAATGAAAAACTGTTGAACCCCAATACCTAGCCACAGATGAAGTCTGCCCTGGAGAGTAAAAAAATAACAGCTTTATTGAGATATATAATTTCCATACCACATAATTCACCTATTTGAATGGCACAATCCGGTGGGTTTTATCATATTCACAGAGTTGGGTTACCACTGTCATAGTTGATTTTAGAAGATTTTCGGCACTCTCCAAATTCCTGTTGTCTATTAGCGGTTACTCACTTTCCTCAACTCCCCAGCCCTGGGAAATCACTAATCTAGTTCTGTTTCTATAGATTTGCCCACTCTGGAAATTTCATATAAATATAATCATATGTGACTTTTTGTGACTGGCTTTTAAAAAAATTTAACACAATGCTCTCAAGGTTCATCAAATGAAGGTTTTTCTTTTTTAATAAACTTTTTATTTTGGAAGACTTTCAGATTTACAAAATTTACATAGATAGTGCCCTTACTTTTCAGTCAGCTTCTTCTAATATTAACTTCTTACATACCCATGGTACATTTGACAAGACTAAGAAATAATATTAACAAAACTTTAGATGCCATTTCTGTTTTGCTTTTTTCTTAAATGTATCTTTTCTCGATTTCAGTATGTAATTCAGATCCATCCACATTGTATTTAACAGTTATGTCTCCTTAGTTTCTCCTTGTGTCTCTGTCTCCATCTCTCTCTTTGTTTTTCATGACCTTGACATTTTGAAGGGTATAGTCAGATATATTGTAGAATTTTCAGCAATTGGTTTAGTTCCACATTTTCTCGTCATGATTTCCTGGTGTTATTTAGGGTTGAGGGCTATTTCCTTCTTTCATATCAGGGAGTAGCTGGCATCCACATGGCTTATCACTGGTTAGGTAAACCTTGGTCACTTGGTTAAGGTGGTCTCTTCCAAGCTTGTATTCTGTGGAGTTACTGTTTTTCCTTTCCATTTTCTATTTTTTGGAAATGAGTCATTCAGACCTTCCTACATTGAGTGGTATGGGAATTATGTTCCTCTTTCTGGGGGATAGTACTTACATGTATTATTCCACATTCTTCTATAAGGGAGATATATCCTGCCTCATCCATTCAGTAAGTTATTCCATTATTTTATGCTAATGTAGACTCAATGACACTTATTTTACTGTTTTGGCTAAAATCTAATACTGTCATAATTTATCTGGTTGTCAAATTATTCCAGAATTGGCAATAGGAAGCCCTTTCAAGTTGGGCCTTATTTTCTTTTGATATGGTCCCCCGTCCTCCTCATCCTTCACCTTCTCCTCCTCCTTCTCCTCCTCCATAGTAAGTCCATGAAAAGTCCATGACTAATATTAGACTGTTAATATTTGTCAAATGATTTGTGAAAGACTTGTAGACCAACATAAAATCTATAATCATAACTAATAGAACTTCATATTCTGAAAAATCCTTTTTTTACATATACTTATCTCCTTTATTTTTCATTCCAACCCCATGAAGGTACACTTAATTATAATTATCATGGTAATAATACTCAATGTTTCAAGGAGAAATAAAGCTAAGTAACTTAATGAAGCAATAGAGCTATATTCAAAATCAAGTTATATAACTCAAATTCCCATTCTCTGTCCTTCCTTCTGGGTTATTGATAAGGTCATCATGCTGACAAACTGCCATCACATAGATCATTGGGCTATTTCAGACAGAGGCTCACATCTGGTTCATTTGAGTCACAGGAGGTCTTTTGAGTCCTGCGTTCAGAGTGATAGAATCTGTCTCTTTTGTCATAACCTATGTCATAAATAGTAATGCTGTTAAATAAACACAAAATAATACAAACATTTATATTTTTAAAAGTCCTATAAACATTTCAATTCCTTCTTCTTTTTCTCCACTTCCTCTAACTCCTTCTCCTTTTTGCTAAAAACAAAATTAATTATTAACTTTAAAAAGTAAGCAACTCATATATAAAGTCCAAAGATTTTTTTATCTAAATGTCTTTGAGTCTGCCAGCAGCCTTTATGACAAATCTGAAAAAAAGATACAGGGTCTATGTTAGTTCATTTCACATGGTAGCTGCTTGGTAAATGTTTGTGAATTAACCAATTATTCAAATCAACAAATATTTGCTGAACTAAACTCTGTGGAAGTGTCGAGAAGAAAAGGTCTCTGTCCTCAAGGATCAATGACCTTGTTGAAGAGACTAAGCACAGACACCTGAACATAGAGTCAACACTACAACCATTAAGGATAATAATAAGAGAAATAGCACAGGATTAATTTCCAGTTAAGTGATAGGGAACAGGTGGTGAAGAATTTCAGAGCAAAAAAACAGTTATTCAAGCAGAGACAATCAGATATAGACTTTATAGGGGAGATAGATGCCTCAATCTTGTTTTCAAGGGTGAAGGAGTCTTAGATGGGTCAGGATGGTATAGGAGAAGGCTGCTGATAAAGCCTGAGGACAGAGAAACAAAAGTGTTATCTGAGAGGCTATTTTTCCTTCCTTTCCAAAGGGCGTTTGCAATGATGGTACTTGTGTCTAAGGATTCAGCGGTCTTTGTAGATTTTAAAGAAGAAAAATGTTGGGGTGGGAGATGTAGTTCAGTGATAGAGCACTTGACAAGCATTTTTTTTGAGTCACTTTATTTTTCTTTTAATATTTTGTTCTAGTTGTAGTTGGATACAATACCTTTATTTTATTTTTATGTGGTGCTGAGGATCGAACCCAGGGCCTCACACATGCTAGGCGAGCACTCTATTGCTGAGCCTCAACCCCAGCCCCTTGCAAGCACTTAAAAATTCCTTGGGTTCCATTCATAGCACTAGATGGAAAAAGCCAAATGTCTCAAGGAAATTAACTAAAATTCAAGTTTCCAAAAACCAGATGACTACTTTTTTTTCTG